ACATCCGGTACCAACAGCAGGCGTAGGAATACGGTACGCCTTATTAGTAACTCCTTCATACTTATGAGGTTCTGACAAGCCTCTTTAAATAGTTGTAGTTTGAAGTACAGGTGGTGTCAGTGATACCCGGTATTTGTATTGCATGTATTGCACCCTTTATATGTATGCACACACACATACACACACACAAGCACGCATTCATATGTGTGTGTGTGAAAGTGTACGTATGTGTTTCCAAGTTTCACAGGAAATGCTGTAGATAAAGCCAGCGGATGCTAAGAAAAGACGATTAACGTGTAAATGTCACTGTTTTCTTAGTCGTCCCTTTGTGCCCCGCTGTGTCGCTGTTTCTGGCAATCCTCTTACTTAAAGTGGCAAAAGGCTTCTTGAATCCCTTCCTTCGGTGTAGTGGTTAGAACTTCTGTCTTTTTTCTGAACGATGTTATGTGTATATGTATCTGTGTGTGTATAATGTCTCTCTTTATGAATGCCTGACCAGTGAAGGAGGTTGTCCGGTAAGTGTTAATAATATGAGAAATGTCCAGTAATAATCGGCATGTGACGTCTAACAGAAACCAGAAAAAGTCATGCTAACAGGAGAATTTCCGTGACAAGAAAAGTAGAAGATGGATATAAATAGACTAAAAATCAGCAAATATCGATATGGAGAGATATACGACAATTGGAGATATTCCAGTAGATTAACATGCATTAGTTGCCCGCGTGTTAAATAATTTCACTGTTTATATTTCCCCCAAAATACAAATTCTTTACTATCATGTGAAAAATACAACCAGCAAATTAATTTTAAAAAACGTCCGTTGATCGTCCCCGATGTCTCGCCGCTAAATAGTAATTAATATTTTGAAAAAAAAGGTCGGGGAGTCTTGATGAGGTTGATGAGGCCCCCTCCTCCCCACCTATCCCCCCATACCTTCTCTTTCCCTTTCTCTCTGTATTTCCCATTCATTTTCTCTCTCCTTCTTTTTTCCTCCTTCCTACCTTCATACCATACATTCATTCATTCCCTATCCTCTTTTCCTTCCTTCCTTTCTTATACCATACCATACATTCATCCATCCCCCCCTCTCTTTCTTCCTCCCTTTCTTTATGCCATACATTCACTCTCTCTCTTTCCTCCTTCCCATTCTTATGCCATGCATTCATTGACTCCCTCTCTTCCTCTCTTTCCTTCTTCTTTCTGTCGCGCTAATGAAAACTCTCACCATAACTCCATTTTTGAATCACATGCAATTTCAGGCTCAAACTGATGAGATTCCGCCATAAACTTCTCTACTGCACTGAAGTCTCTTATACTGAAGTCCTGACGTCGTTCGTGACGCAAATCTCACCCGAAAAATGAAGCTAATCTTGAAGTAAAATTTCAGTCGATTCTTGTCACGTGTAAACATTGGCCAGCCTTTGGACGGTTACGGACCAAAATTGTTTTTCTTCTGGAAACTGAATTGCTTCTAGGCCTAGCGCATATCACGGGTGATTTTCCGTTATATATAATGATCAGATTGTATTCCTATACTGATGAGAATTGTCAGATGATGCCGATTAATATTGGTAAAATGACAATGGCACTGGGCGTCACCTTTAAGTTGCCTTTTCATATTTCAAAGTTAGCTTCATACAGGGATGGTGGTTTGAGCTATATTCCTCGCACGGTTTTATATACGGGCGCAAAATATATAATAGCCGTTTGGAACGTCGAGCGATAAACATATATATATATATATATATATATATATATATATATATATATATATATATATATATATATATATGTGTGTGTGTGTGTGTGTGTGTGTGTGTGTGTGTGTGTGTGTGTGTGTGAACATATATATATATAATATATATATGTATGTATGTATGTATAAATGTATGATTATTATCACCAATATCACATACACATGTGTACGTATTCCCTTCTTTGAAAGGAAGTTACTCAAGGGTATTGCATATCCTTAGAAGTCGCTATCTCTAACTTTGACAACAGCGGATCCTACACAACAACACAATCTCCTTGTGGGCATCCCTAAACAACCAAGGCATAAAGAATTTTCGTTAAAAGTCTCAGTTTGTGATAAAGCTTACTCGAATATTCAAATCCGCCCAATATATTTGCTTCAGGAGCGAGCCATGTGCTTCCTGCGGCAGTGAAGTGTCCTCCTGACCTCCCGCGAAGCGAATGAGGACAAGATGAGGATCCTCGTGATGTCTGTCCTGATCCTGGGTGAGTTTTATCGCTTTGCTCCGAGTCATCACAGTGAACCTTGTCTGTGGTCGACTTTGTTTATAAACACTTCCTTGTACTTATGAGATGGTGTTTCCTGTAATGTGTTTTCTTATTATTAAAGAAAAAATGTCGTTACTCTACATGTACATCGTCACATAATAGGCCTACTTATTTTTCTAGTAACACGTCAAAACAGATTAAAAAAAAAAAGATAACTCCCACATGATAAAAGCTAAATCTGTATCTCTTACCGCT